AAGAACCAAGATGCATTATGTAAAGGTCCAATTCCCAATGAGAAATGTAATTGTGTTGTATACCTACAATGTACCAATAAAATAATTTAATTTAAAAAAAAAGAAAAATCATTTTAATGTTGCCGTCTGCTTCCCTTTTAGTTTTTCTAAGAAAAATATATTATTTTTAGGTGTAAAATCTCCCGAGTTCAGAACCTGACATCATCAGTAGTCTTCTTATGCAGTATGTTTTGTCAGGCTCCTAAAATAGGCCTCTTCTGTACCAGACCAAAATGACAAAATAATCAGTATTCACACCTTATTCAGTTTACATGCACACTTGCTTACTCAGCACTTTGAGTGTTTTGAACTTCTGTCTTTCTTAAAAAAGCAGAGAGGAATAAGGTAATTTAATCCAAGCATTCTGGCTATCAAAATTACCGTCTTAACATGAAAACAAATGACTCTGTGTGTGTATGTGTGTATGTTCACTTTGGTTTTTGCAGTGCTAATATAGAATTATTTAACTCTTGTTGCCTTTATTTATTTTTCTCAAACACTTGACTTTAATGATTGTTCTTAACCTAAGGAAAAAATTTAATTCAACTAGTGGTAAATACTTGAACTTAACTGAACCCAAACCAAAAGATTTAATCCACTCAGTTTCCCAATTTGAAGGAAAATGTTTGACTCACTTTCATTGTTTGTGTTAGGATGGAGAAAGGAGGCTGGCTGAATGTGATCAAGACTCTTAATTTGATTTGATTGTTCAGTGTGGCTGGAGCCGGATACGTTGTAGAGCATTTAAAAATGGGAATTGAAAATTCAGTCAATAACTAAATGATGAAATGAGGGTGACTGGCTTATAAAAGGTACATTTATTTTTGACAAAGTAATGTAAAATACAAGTATTCATTTTAAAAGCAGCTAATATTAATATTGATAATTGATCATTAAATTTATTGATGACCACATCATAGTCACTTAGATATGTATTGGTTATCTAGTGGGGGAGGGTGTAAGAAAGAAAGTGATTTTATCTTGCTCATGTTCTTTTGCAAGAAAAGTGGCTTTTTAAAAAAGGAAGGCATTTATATTATGAAATTATTTTGGAAATTCATTCCTTTACAAAAACAAATGTTGAAATAAAAATCCTTAATATGAGCCTCCGCATGAGCTAGGCCTCACTTTTCATCATCATCTCTTCTAATTCCTACATTAGGAGTCCAAGTGGAGTATACAAGTGGAACGAATGTGGGATGAAAATATCTGACATTCTACTGACTGAGAATGAGAGAGAGAAACTGGAAGAATTCAGACCAAGCCAAGCCAAAGCTCTATGTAAATGGAAGTTAAGAGGAAGTAAGAAATAAATACGGACTAAATGTATAATAGGTAATGTGAAATAGGAAGAAAAGGGGCAAAGGGGAAGGAAGTGGGAGGGCTAGGGGAAAGGATAGAAGGGAATGGGATTAATATGAGAAAATGGAAAAATAGGAACAAAATCTTTGTAAATAGGGAGGAATGGAGGGATTGAAGGGAGGGCTGGGCAAGGGTGAAAAATAAGAACCAAGAGAGATTATGTAAAGGTACAAATTTCCAATGATGAATGTCATTATATTGTATACCTAAAATGTACCAATGATTAGAATGAATAATCGATAATGCAAAATAGGAAGAAAAGGTCCAAAGGGGTAGGGGTAGTGGGAGGGGCAGGGGAAAGGAAAGAAGGGAAAGGAAAAATGATGAGAAATGGAAAAAATGGAAATAAAGTCTTTGTAAATAGGGAAGGGTGGAGGGTGTGAAGGGAGGGCTAGGAATGGGGAAAAAATAAGAACCAAGATGCATTATGTAAAGGTCCAATTCCCAATGAGAAATGTAATTGTGTTGTATACCTACAATGTACCAATAAAAAAATTTAATTAAAAAGAAAAAAGAGAAAAAAAAGAGGAAGCAAGAAAGCTGAGGAAGAAAAGAGAAGAAGGGAGACATGGAGAAAAAAAGACAAAAGTATCAGAAAAAGTAGTTGGTTCATGGAACTTTGCCCCAGATAGATAGATTTCTAGTTCCAGTTTCAATCTTTATGTGTCCTGATAATATGTGTCCTCCTTTTCCTTGAGGCAGTCGGAATAGATTTTCCTTAATCTTTAAAGTGCTTTGAGGGGTGTCTTTGTTTCATGCTGCTATAAGAATCTATTGAAAATACTTAGTGTCTGTCTGTCTGTCTGGTTAAATGAAGTATAGTATATCTTTCTAAGCATTAATCAAAAGTGGTTATAAGTTGCCTATATGGTATTGTTAAGCAAAAAAGTAAGTCACAAAACAGTATGCATAGAATTTCTGGTATGCATTAAAAATGCAGTTGTAGTATGTATTAGAATATTTCAAGTCAGAGTGTGTGTGTGTGTGAGAGTGTGCGTGTGAGCAGATGTAAAAATTCTGAAAAGATTAATTCTAAAATGTTAGCAGAGGTTATATGTGGATAAGTAGAACTGTGGGTGATCTTCATACTTTATTTTCCTATTCGGATTATCTGATTTTTGATCTGAATATTTATTACTGTCATAAGCAATAGAAACTATGGGATTATTTAAATTTTTAGAAAAAAGCAGTAAAATTCCATACCTTTAGAATTTGCCTATGTGGTAAAGAGATCAAAGATAAGTTAACTACCATCTTGGGGGAATAAGTCATTTTCATTTATCAGACAATATACACCAGCCACAGTGCTAAATGATGAAAGATAAATAGGACAAGGTTATTGTCTTTAACAATCTATAGCCTAAAACAAGTTTATGAATATGGTCAAATACAATAATAAATATTATAAATAATATTATCTTTAATACATATATAAAAACTTTAATATCAAACATGTAAATTAGTGACAAAGATGAAACTATTTCATAAAAGACATTCAGATAGGATCTTAAAGGCTTAGAAAATGAAAGAGAAATGCATTCTAGGAGGAAGAACAAAGTATACCAGATATAAGGGCATTGAAAAGCAGTGTGTAAGAATGCAATACAATCATACATTATTTGATCTTCTTTAAAATACTAATAATTTTAATATATATATTTTAAATAATTCTGGTAATGCCCAGATGCTAAAGAACACTGTGCACATGTTATTAAGGATCAGTATTTCGGTCACTACCTCCCCCTGGCATAAAATGTGATCTTTGGTGATCTCTGGCTTCTGTTGTGTCTTGGGATGCAAGTGCTGCTCTCTAGGATACTGACATACAGAACACAGCACCTGCATAACAGCAGGGCAGTCAGTTCCATCCATCATCATGTTTTCTTGACATGTATTAGGGGATTGCACTGTGAAAACAACACAAACAATATGCAGAAACTCACACATTTAGTGAAAAACCAGGTCAGTTAAAAAGTCTTCAGTTTCTATTCAATCCTCAGACAATGGACAAATGAGGATCTCCTTTAAAGGGCATTGTGTGACATACAATGAGCTTTGCTTACAGCTGTCTTCTGCGTGCAAATCTGTTCAGGAGGATTTATTGTGATGCCATGCTAGCTGCTGCAGCAGATACACCACCAGGGAATTTTTTTTTAAAAAGGTAAATCAATAAGGCTTGGAAAATTACAAGATAATACTTTGAAACCAGACCCAAATAAAGGCCCACTGCATTAAATGGGGCCATATTTAATTGGGTTACTCTACAAAACAATATCTAACAGAGAAAGCCAGCATGAGATGATTAGATGAACTGCAGGACACAGAATAAAAAAAGAAATATGGCAGAAACCTTGAGTTTTCTGCTAAGTCCAGAAAAAAATACATTGCAGCAGACTGGGCAGATGCATGACTGTCTTTTCACTGGTTGCCAAGAATCTAAGTCTAGATTTTAAAAACTGCAAACAAAATAGAAGCAAAATGTTAAAGAACAAGAACAATTATGCTTTGAAAAAATAGATGAGAAGGGGTGACTAACCAAAATATTTATTGAATCCCTACCATATGCCCATTAGGTCATTCAATACATATCTATGTAATATCACTGACTAATATGCTACCTGCTAAGAGAGAAAGTAAAAGTGACAAAAATCTTTACCTTTTGGAGTTTATAGCTAAAGTGGAGGGTCAAATGCACCAATGTGAAAGAGTAAAGTAACAACACAAGGCAAATGCTATACTCTCGTCATTATTACCAAAATGATGCGATTTGTAGACAATAAATGTAATATTCACAAGAGAAAGATGTGAGCTGAACTATATATAACTTGGAGGAAGGTCTCAGAGAGGGAGGGTTCATGCTGGTTCTTAAAGAACGCTTGGTCTCAAACCCTATGTCTGTCTACCTTTTACTGGCAGAATAGAAAAATTTTGAGCAAATCATGTTACTTCTCTGGATTTTTATCTTCATTTATAAAATGAAAGTTTTAGACTAGGTAATCTCTAAATTCCCTTGATTGAAAATCCCTTAATCCAAGGATATAAGAAATAAATGAATGAGATGTTTAAGAAAGTATTTCTAAAATATTTCAAATAAATCCACAAATTTGGAAATAAGTGAGCAGACTCCTAATTTTCATCTGGGGACATGACTGTCTGTTGTAAATCTGTATTTCTTTGCCTCCTTGGTCTCTGTGGTTATGTGTGACTAACTTTAGATCAAGAAGAAGAGAATGGAAATGTATAGTGGAGAAATGTTAAAAGCTGGAGGAGGTTTGCTCTTGGTTCTGCTTCCTGGATGAAGAATGTCACAGCCAGAGGAAAAGATGAGAGTTGTGCTGCAGGGCTGTCAGAGAAACAAAGTGAAAGGCAGCTGCCAGACCAGTCCTGGAGAGCATGCTTCCAGATTTTTGATTGACTGATGCTGGGGAGGGAACCCAGGCCTTCACCCATGCTAAATATGTGCCTTACAATGTTCTACGGCCCAGCCTTGCTCTTGAATTTATGTGAGCCAAAAGAAAATGCTATTCTGTTTAATTTACTTTTTGTTTCCCCATCAGATGGGACTAAAATTAATTCTAATATGCCATTTTGAAAATGATAAAGCAGGTATATTAAAAGTAGCTTGCCCAATGTTACAAAATCACTGAGACAGAGATGACTTTGGGCTCACACATTCTTACCCTAGAGCTCACGTCATTTCTAACTTCTTGCTATCTAAATGTAAGAAAGCGACATGACAAATGTATGTTGTGCTGACAGGTATTGGATATAGGCTATTTCATGAAGGCTGAGGAAACTCTGAAGATGGCTGATTGCTGAGACTTGTGTGCAGGCAGCTCTCCCAGCAGTGGGAGCAAGAAACCCTTCATTCCTTAAGGGGGATCTTAGTGACACACCATAGCTTCTACTATCCCTGGATGACATTATAGCCTCTTTCTGTGTCTATGACTGAATTATTCATTGGTCATGCCTCATTTTCTCATTTGACCCTGATGCACTGTCTTAGCATTTTTAAATCCAGCAATTCAGACACGTTACTAATTGATTGGCCTTAGCACACAGCCTATTTGCTATTTCCCCCTATTCAAAACCAGTTCAATATGGAGATATAGAGGCCCAGCCCCTCCAAAGCAACTTTAAAAGGTCATCCTGGCTTCAGAGTTCTACCGGGAGTTGGCTGAAGCTTTCACTGAGACTGCACAGCACCATTTTTTCCACTTCTTTTCTTGTTTTTTTTCCTTCCCTTTCCTTCTCCAGGCAAGGATCACAACACAACAGTCCCCTCAAAACATTCTATATGAATCTTCATTTCAGAGTCCATTTCTTGGGAAACCCAACCGATAGTATGGTACCATGGCTTTATCTACGTAACAGTTCCTAATCAGTTGGGAAGTAATTAATGTATCTCAAGGAGAAGAAAACTCAGTTATAATTATTTGTTTTGGCCCAATTCTCTCTCTGTGTTTCTTGGTTACAGTTTGTCTACTCCCTATGTAACAGTGCCCTGTGCTGGACCAATCATATCTTACCTCTCTGGCCACAGTGATGAGTACAGATGGTGGGTTTGTGATCAGGATTGGAGAGTCAGAATCCTTCCATGGTCATTTTTGTAGCAAGAGCTAGAAGACAAATTTCTGTTGCTGTTGCTCCCCCACCCCCATCCCCACTCTCTTCTTTTCTTCTTTAGTACAAGGAATTGAACCCAAGGCCTTCACACTAAGCTAGATCTGCAGCCTTTTAAAAAAATTTTTACTTTGAGGCAGGCTTTTGCTAAATTGTTTAGTTGCAATCCTCCTACCTCAGTCTCCCAGAGTGCTGGGATTACAGCTATGTGCCACCAGACCTGGCTCCCTTGCTTCTTTTTTTTTTTTTTTTTTTGATACCAGGGATCAAACCCAGGTCCTCAGCTTGCGAGGCAGGCAGTGGACCTGGAAATGTCAGGAATGCTGGGGCCCTATTTCCTATTTACAAGAAAAATGATCATATGAAATAGGAAATAATAAAGCCAAGCAGAGGTGGGAAACAAAGAGTTCTGAAAGCATGAAATCATCTTTAGAGCCCTACTTTCTGCTAGTCTTCCAGTAGCACTGTGAGCTATCCTATAATTGTTTATTTAAACTAGTGTATGTATAAAGTCTTTTCATTTACAATGGAAAACTCCTGTTTAACATATCTGTGCATTTTGTGTTTCTATAAACTACCACCTTTTCTACCCTATTCCTAGTGTTTCTTTTCCAGGATCCCACCCCTGGATACCATATTCCATTTAGTCACGTGTCCTTAGGTTCCTTTTGGTTGTGGCAGTGGCAGTTTTTCAGATTTTCCTTGTTTTTGAAGGCCCTGATTTTTTTTTTAAGTGTTGAGGATCAAGCCCAGGCTTCCACAAACCAGGGAAGTGTTCTGAGCTACACCCCTTGCCCACTTCGACAGCTTCAAAGAATACTGGCTAGGTACTATACTTTGTAGAACGTCCTGTAACTTGTATTTGTCTGTTTTATTCTCATGGTTATGAGTTTTTTAAAAAACTTATTTATTTTTCTTTTGGTACCAGGGATCAAACTCAGGACCTTAAGCTTTCGAGGCAGGCGCAGTGCCACTGAGCTAAATCCCCTGCCTGAGTTTATTTTTTGAGGCAGGGTCTTGCTATGTAGTTCCGGCTGGCCTTAAATCACTATGTAGCCCAGGCTGGCCTTGAACTCACAGCAATCCTCCTGCCTCAGCCTCCCAAATGCTGGGATCACAGGGATGCACCACTATGCCCAGCAAGGGTTATGAGTTTTTGAGAGGAAGACCACAGAGTGCTACCATCGTCACATCGTCATATGAAGGGCACATGCTGTCAACATCATTTATCACTGTTAATGTCAACCTTGATCACCTGGCATACACAACTGACTTAATTACATTAATATGGTACTGGGGATTTAGCTCAGAGGTGCTGCGCCTGCGTGGCAAGCGCAAGGTTCTGAGTACAAAAAAAAAATTACATTAATACGTTCAATGTCTAATCTACAGGTCGATGAAGTAAGCATCAAAATAGAAAAAAAATACCCTAGGGAATTGTGGAAAGAAAATTGGCTTTCAGACCTCAGCCCTGCCATTTACTAGGTGTATGACTTTGGACAATTTGCTTCAATGTCAGTAAAAGGGAATGATAGTACCAAATAATGCTTTTAAGCATCTGTTGAGAAAATGTATGTTTTGTGTAATATTACACTTTTAGATGTGTGAGAATCTTGTATGAAAAAGAAAACATTCTTAGAAAGTGTAATGTCTTACGCAGTTAAAATCACGTCTAGCTGAGCAGAGTAAGGCTAATGAGTTGAGGAAGGGGGAAGGGTAATGAGTTCCCATTTTGCCCTGGCTTCTTTTGCCAAAGTCTGCTTGCTGACAGTGATTTCTTAGGTCTTATGAACCTAGAGCAAGGGTTCAACTTTGACGTGCACTAATATTAATAATTTTGGTGTTGCTTCTTTGTACAGCATTTATGTGAGAGAAATCATCTCTTTGAAGTTGCAATAATTTTCCAAGCTGCAAAATCCTTCCTAAAAAGCTTACGATTCGATTTCTTGATCCTGAGGTTTGAAAAAAAAAAAAGCAACTCCACCCTCTCCTTAAACAGGTTAGAGTTAGTACTTTTTAACTTCATTTATAAAGGAAATATTCAGAGAAAGCCGAAGAGGCGGGGCTTTCCCTGCATCACTGAAATTAACACTGCTCATACAGCAACTGCTAGCCTGGTACAATGCAAAGAGCAACGGTGTTAAAAGTCCAGTGATCTGGATTAAAGCCTAACTCTACTTCAGATAAGACTTTGAGAAAGTTTTAAAATGTCTTGATTTCTCATCGGTAAAACTGTGTTGTTGAGAGGGTAATTAAAACAACTTGTAAGAGGGCTATTATTTCTAACCTAGACTGTGTTTGCTGTCAGTAGCGGTGCGCTGGTTACCATTCAGCGAGGGGAAGCTTCTGGGCTTTGTATCTGGAAGCCCAGTTGACGGAAAAGCAGCAGCGCGTTTAAAAACAGGAGCTCATCACATTCTGGGTCTTTAGGTTCAGGACAGCGGTAACCCTGGAAACCAGGCTGGCAGCACCTTTCATTTCTAAAGCTTAGTTTCTCCTGCTTTTTTCCATAATGTTCGGGACATCACTATTTTATGGTCTTTTTGTTGTTGTTTTCTTTCCACACCGTTAGCACAAACAAAAAAAATCTACTGAAGCTAGTACAAAACGTTCTCAGCGACCCTTTTTGGCTGAAGATCTCGCACTGTTCATCGGGACCGCACCCCCAGGAGTCCTCAGACTTCTAGGAACTCCCTAGACCTCGCTCAAAGGAACCACGCAGGCAACAGCTGGAACTCCGACTCAGTCACCAGGCGCACCGCAGAAAGCATACCTCTACCTCGCGCGGTAACTCCCAGAGACAACCCTCGTAAGACCACGGCGGATCGCTTCTCCGCCTTTCGGCTAAAATCAAGTGTGAGACCACGGCGGGGTGGAGTCAAGGAATCCCACTCTCGCGAGAAGAGGCCGCGACGGAAACCAGCGAGCGGCCCCTCGGCGCCCCGTCCCTGGGGTGGGCGGGGCCAGTGAGGAACCGCCCCCTTCCTGCTCCTCTCCCCTCCCCCGAGCCCTGAGAGGCCTGGCCTGGGTTCGCCCTTGGGCTTCTTCAAGCCTTCGGTGGTGGAGTAGGTTCGGTTCCGGAGCGCACTCGGGTCGGGGGGGGGGGCGGGGAGGGACCCGGGCTCGCGGCCCCGCCCCCTTCTCCCCCCGTCACCCCGCCCCCCTCTGCCGGCCCTGGGGCCGCATCCCAGCGCACCTCGGCAGCCGGGCCCGAGCCGGGAGCTCCTGCTCGCAGGTGTCGTCGGCGGGGCCCCAGGGCGCAGCCCAGCTCGGCCTCATGGTGGGATTCGGGGCCAACCGGCGCGGCGGCCGCCTGCCCTCCTTCGTGCTGCTGGTGCTCCTCGTGGTGATCGTCGTCCTCGCCTTCAACTACTGGAGCATCTCTTCCCGCCACGTCCAGCTCCAGGAGGAGGTCGCCGAGCTGCAGGCCCAGGTCCAGCGCACCGAGGTGGCCCGCGGGCGTCTGGAGAAGCGCAACTCGGATCTTCTGCTCCTGGTGGACACGCACAAGAAACAGATCGACCAGAAGGAGGCCGACTATGACCGCCTCAGTAGCCGGCTGCAGGCCAGGGAGGGCCTGGGAAAGAGGTGCGAGGATGACAAGGTAAGGGCGGCCCCTTCCCCAGCCTCCCAGGGTGCCTCTTTGAGCTCCGATGTCGGTTTCCGCGGTCGCTTCCTCCGCTCTTCCAGGGTTGCTATTCTGGCAGCTTCCCTTACTCCTAATAAATCTGTTTCTGCCAGACTTTTCTCGGTTTATCAGTGCCACAATTCTCTAGTCCCTGCCAGATGCTGGCTGCAAATTCTGGTTCTCCAGAGTGGCCTGTTTGCGGATGCCGCCGTTTCCCCAAGCTCAGCTGCTGAGCTGGCAGTGCTAATCTGGCCTATGTGGTCACCTTGGGTTCACAGACACAAATCTGGAGGCCGCCAGGTTTGGTGTGGGCATTGTCTCATCCCTGTTCTGTGCACATGGGTCAATATTAATTTCTTTACTTAAAAAGATATACCTCTTTTAACTCCTTCTTTGGTGATCAGCACATTTTTAAGCAACATGATTTCTTAAATCTATTATCAGATAAATCAGACATTACTACCTTTCTGTCATTAAAATGTTGTGATAAATAGGTCCAGGAGCCATGTATTTACCACACTTGCAGCTTGGACCTAGTTAATCCATAATTACCTATTCAATTTGAATTGTTAATGAAATTAGCCAAAATGATAGAATCTAAAAATAAGTTCTAAACAACAGAATCTCAAGTCTGTGTCCCCGTTGTTCTTAAAAGAAAATAAAATGAAATTGTGTATGGTTAAGTAGCTCTTAGGGTTGGTGTTTTATATAGATAGAAAATATAAAGTGTTAAATTTTAAAAGTTTAAAACTGGACTGTACCCATACCTGCTACTTAACAGTCCTGTGCACACCAGTATATTAGTGGCTATAGTAATAGTTCATGACATGCAAGTTCTGTTGGTGGAGCAGAGTAATGAAAATTTCTGGGTGAGATAGTACATCTCTTCCTTTTTGTATTTTTTAGTAATCTTCACTTTTTGGCCCAAGTTTCCAAGTTTTTGTGTATCAAAATCATTTATATTAAAACATTATAAATTAAAATCCATGAACTCCCAGCATTCCTATTGTCATCAGCCTTCTTAATTTCATAAAGATTGAGGCCTTCAGGTAAATTCTTTGTAACTTCCTCCTCTTCATAGCACAGACATCCTCAGAGAGGCAAGAAATCAGCAGATTTGTGCACTTTCTACACAGTGAACTTTACAGACTGAAACATACTCTTGGGTAGAGTAGGAAGAAATCCATGAGATTTTGGAGTATTAAAATGAGGTCTTTAGACTTGGAATGGTTAAGCATTACTATTCAGATTTCTCCAGTCTCAAGAAAAAAAAATGTCTTTCCTAGTATGTCCTCTGGATTCCATTTCTTCGATCCGTTGGGTTGTGATCAGTCTCAGCGAGTTTTCACATTTTATCTTCAACCGTGTGTGGGTGTTTCTTGTTTTACATTAAAAAAAATTTCTCTGTATATTCTTTTCTATCATGCAGACTTTTTTTTTGAAACTTTCATTGCCAACATCAAGTTATTTGTGGTCTCTTAATCCTCCATCTACTTCATTTTTGATCCCCACTCTAATCTTTTAAAATGCTGTCTGCTATCTTTCTTCCCCTTTTCTGAAACTGCTTTGTAAGTTATCCATCTCAGATCCAAAGAACATTTTTATCCTGAGTTTATTTAGTCTCTAATTTGGTCCTATTTATTGTCTATAGTTTTGGGGTTTTTTTTGTCTGAAGCTTTTTGAGAACTAGCTCCTCTCTTGTTTTTGTAATATTGGAGTCTGTAGATTCTCCTTGCACCTTCTTCACTGTATTCTTTGCTTGATATTTTTCTTTCCTCCAACCACTCAATTGTTGGGGCCCTTTCCCCTTAGAACCGTATTTCCCAAAGCACTGTTAAACAGAATACTGTTCTTGGAATTGTTTATAGGTGACCTGGAGAAAAAAGGCAAAGCTTTTTGAAGGGAAATATTAAGTAGTGTATCTACCCCTTAGAGTTCTTATTATTTATTTATTTATGTATGTATGTAGCAGTACTAGGGATTGAACCCAGAGCCTTCACACTGAGTTATATCCCTAGCCCTTTCTAATTTTATTTTTTACTTTAAGACAGGTTCTTGTGAAGTTGCAAAATTGCCCAGGTTGGGCTCCCCCTTCTCAACCTTCCAGAGTGCTAGAATTATAGGCATGCACCACGCCACCATGCCTGGCTCTCCTTGTATTTCTTAATACCTCTGATAAATCCAGTAGTAATGAAGTCTATTTAACTTTGTTTAATCCAGTTTCTTGTTTATTTGATCACAGATTACTACTTTCATTGTCTGCCTGTTACCATGCTACAGAAGAATGTAGCAGTATCTTTTTTTTTTTGGTACCAGGGATTGAACTCAGGGTCTTGCACTTGCGAGACTGGCGCACTGCCACTGAGCTAAATCCCTGGCCCTGCCCTAAGTATCTAACTGCATCTCTTATTTGTATGCCAGTTCTTGTGAACATTCCTGGGGTTAATTAGGAGACTCTGAGGTGCTTAATAAACAGAAAGGTTAGTTTTTGTCTGTACCTTTTTCTTTTTAACAAACTTATTTTAGAACAGTTTCAGAGCTAGAATATTATTATGAACATAGTACGGGGAATTTTTGTATACTCCATACCCAGTTTTCCCTATTACTAGCCTCTTAGAAAAAGCATTTGTTACCACTAATAAGCCTGTATTGGTATATTGTTACTGAGGACCAAGCTTTATTCATATTTTTTCATGTCCTTTTTCTGTCCTAGAATCTCATCTAGGACACCATATTGCATTTAATCATCATGACTCTTTTAACTATTTTTGTTTGTGATGCTTTTTCAAATGTTCTTTGGTTTTGATATCCTTGACAGTTCTGAGGATTACAGATCGGTATTTTGTAGAATGATCTTCGGTTAGGATTTGTCTGATTAATTCTCTTCCTCTCCCCCCCCCCCCTCGAATGGAGAAATTGAACCTTGGGAGTGCTTAGCTATATCCCCAGACTTTTTTGTTTTTAATTTTGAGATATGGTCTCATTGAGTTGACTAGACTGGCCTTAAACTTGCCATTCTCCTGCCTCCGCCTCCCAAATAGATGAGATTACAAGGATGCACCACCATACCTCTTTGTCTGACTCTGCCTCGGGATTAAATTGGTGTTAGTTTTTGGAAGGAGGCCCACAGAGGTTAAGTGCCAGTCCTACCACACCATATCAAGAGCATATCTTTCAAAATGACTGTGTCCTTGATGTTACCCTTGGTCGCCTGACTTGAGGCAGTGTTTGTGAGCTTTCTCCATTGTAAACTTTCTCTTTTTTTCTCCTTCCATATTGTATTCTTTTCAAGAAGGTCATTTGCTGCTGCACTCAGTGAAGGAGGACTGTTGAATTATGCTTTTTCTCAGGGCCAGTATATCTATATACACTATTTAGAATTCCTCACTTATTAATTTATCCTGTCATTTATTTCATAAACTAATATAAATTTCTGGATTTTTTTTTTTTTACTTTGGACAATAATCCAGAGCTATTTTATTTTGTTCTTCAAATTGTTCCACCTCTGGCCATTGGGAAGTTCCTTCTGTTGGCTCTTATCTCCCTTTCTTACTTTTATAGGTCAAAAAAAACAGAATTTTCACATACCCCACACCTAATTTTATCGTGACATACCCACTCCTTTTTGGCAGTGTAAGATGCTGCTGGCTCATCTTGTGTTTTCTGCTTCAGTCTTAGAGTCATATGTTTCTCTAAGGAGCTGTAGTTCCTTTTATTGGAGAATGGAATTAGAAACCAAGATTTGGGTGCTAAGATATACCCATTGCTGCTGTCAGGGCATCCTTGAGCATCTACAAATCCCTGCTCCACAGAAATTAGAAAGGTGGCCTTTGTGCCTTCCAGTTTATTATGCCATCCTGCTATTTTCAATCTGTTGTGTAGGTTGTTAAATACAGAACTTGAAATTTTTCCCATTAGAGTCCAGAAAAGTGAGAAACAACACATTTCTCACATTTCCCAAATTTACCTTATTATTTGCTTTTCCTGTAAAGGGTTTCAGCTTAGAGAAGTATATTAGTTTGCTAGGGCTGTCATAACAAAATACTGCAGACTAGGTGGCTTAAACTTTGTTTTCTCACAGATCTGGGTGCTGGCAGGATTGGTTTCTTCAGAGGCCTCACTCCTTGGCTTGCAGATAGATGCCTTCTTGCTGTGTTATCCTCACATGGTGCTCCCTCCTTCTGTGTTTTTCATCCTAGTGGCTCTTCGCTTTCTTAGATATCAGTCATATTGGGTTAGTGCCCCACACTAATGGTCTTGTTTTAACTTAATCACCTCTTTAAAGTTCTTGTCTCCGAATAAGATTACATTCTTAGTTCTAAGAGTTGGGACCTCAATTGTGAATTGTTCATAATACAGTTCAGCCTATAACTAATGAGGGAATCTCTCTGTTTCCTCTTTCTCTCTCTCATTCTCTCTTTCTCACT